GGATTCGAACACCAGTGCATCGCTTCAACACGAATGGACCGGACGCCCTATCCTTTAGGCCACGACGTCTCTCAGTTGTTTAGTAAATATGCAAATTACAAGAGGTTATGCCTTCAATGTGGAAGCCATTTATGTATAGTTGTTGCAAAGTACGATCGCGCGTAGCCTTCATTTGTAGTTGTAATCGTAAATAGACATTTTCGTTAGTGTGTGCACCCGACTGACACTACATATTATTATGCCCACTGAGTTTCTCGCCGGATCTTCTCAGTGGGTCGCGTTGTGGTAGATTCTGCGAAGCACTGCTCTTGCTAGGGCCAGTGTTAGCATCACTCCGGTTTGAGCCCTGTGAGCTCACCTACTAGCTTAGGTAGGAAAAAAAAAAGCTACATATAGCCTACATTGACGCGTATACCTACCGATTGGTCACTCACTAAACTAAGGGCGGCGCGTAGTCATACTTTGCAACGCGTATAAAGTACGTTATTCAATAAAAAAAAATTGTTATCCGCCTCCGGGATTTGTAGGTATACTGGGCGTCTTACCCTTTAGACCACAACGAATACAACGACTATAATGATTTAGATAATTACATTTAAAAGAAACAACTATACGTAGCTCTTCGCAACGAGGTAACCTTACAAATAGAAACAGATTGGTAATGAAGCTTATTAAAAATAAAACACGTATATATCAATTTGCGGTTCGGAATTTTTATTTAATAAATCGTTCGTTCATGAGCAGTACCTACGTATTCATGTTGACTAAAATTGGCTTAAATAACCAAAATGGACGAGCTAGTAGCTAGCGAGTTAAAAACTTTTTAAGTAAAATAAATAGTTTGATTTTAGAAAAGCGTGAGGCGTTTCTAACATAGATTTTTATAAAAATTACACTTTTATAGCTAGCCACTAACGTACCGTTTGTAAAATTGGATGTAAATTCAAGTGAAATTAATTTTTTCTGCTATTTAGTTCGGCTTATTAGTAAAGCGTTTATGTTTGATTTCAAAATATGGTTCTTTTCGATATAGATGAATTACATTTATCGTCGTTGTGTGAAATATTCACGATCGACTTCCACAGTGAAGGAATAACATCGTGTAGTAAAAATCAAACCCGCAAAATTATAAGTTGCGTAATCACTGGTGGTAGAACCTCTTGTGAGTCCGCACGGGTAGGTACCACCATCCCGCCTATTTCTGCCGTGAAGCAGTAATGTGTTTCGGCTTGAAGGGTGTGGCAGCCGTTGTAACTATACTGAGACCTTAGAACTTATATCTAAAGGTGGGTGGCGCATTTACGTCGTAAATGTCTATGGACTTCAGTGGAACACCAGTTGGGCTGTGAGCTCGTCCACCTACCTAAGCAATAAAAAAAAATAGTGTGTCCCTAGCCTATAAAAAATGAAAAACACTTTGTTTCATTTTAGTTGGCCAAGGTAACAACATTATTTATTTGTCACCGGTCGCTGACACTATATAGTGCATTTTTTTCATAGATCTTTAAAGTATTTTTTTTTGTAATAGAACGTCTTGAAATGTATATATATGACGTTTGTAGATCTGTCACATACATAATATTTATGTAGATAAGTAGATAAGTAGAAACTGTTGTAAATTTTTTTTTTGGCGCGAATTCGACAGATAATTTAAAATCATGTTTGGAGGGAAACGTGTGATGGCATTAAGGAAAGGCGAAAGCTCTTATTGATTCCATAGTTGTTATATTAATTGAATAGTTTCAAAAAGGTTTTTTTAAATACTCATGTGACGAATAATAATTGTATTATGAGTATTGGAGTATGATTGCACGTCTATTATTCTACGTCTGCACGTTTCTGCACGTCTATGTAGATGATGAGATGAACCCAAGCGATCCAAAATTATTTGACACATTCCCTCAAAATATACTTCAGGACCAGAATGTTATTCATATATCTAATTGAAAAAATTTTTTTTGGCTAGAATCCTAGTCGCCTCTTCAGCGATATAACAATTGTCGTTAAAACGATTTTATAACAATTGTTCTCCCTTATTCTAGAACGCGCGACTACTTCACCGCAGAAATGTTCTTATTGGTGTCGGCCACCCGCGCGGGCTCATAAGACGCGCCTCAACACTAATAAAACTATCTATCACACGTATTTGAACGTAACTCCGGAGGAGATGTCTCAATCGTCAATCTTTGTGTTATCTTCACTTTCACAAACAACGTTTTGCAATATTTTTGCATAATTCTTCGGTAAAGAAACCCGGTTCGGACGTCGAACTTGTTATTCACAACCGGTTGCGTGCTCAACTGGTTATCGTTATACTATATGAGTAATCCTTTGGTTAATCGGCTGGCGCGGGCATCCACTATTTTGAGTGGGGTCAGCGCTCGTGAGGTGTACTTGTTAAAACTGATTCTTTTGAAACGCCTTCATGCGGCTTAGTCTGAAGGCCTCGATTCGTAAGTTTGATTCCCGGCCGGGTACAGTCTAACTAATGTTTTCGATCACCGAGCGAGACCCCCTGTCTCTCTATCCCTTTCTAAAAGTTTCCATTAATTTCTATTAAGACAGTAATTTCTTTATGTGGCAATTTTGAGGAATACTAAATATTAATCCGGGATACCACAGAGCGCAGGCGCTGTTTCCGTTTTCTGTTCTCCAGGCACACTCTGGAGTTAATTTATATTATGTACGTCGACCGTCTATTCCCCTGGGAATATGATATCTGGATTTAAAGTACTCTATGTCCTAGTCTGTACCTCTGACAACCTGTACGTAAAATGATCATTGTTAATGATCAGTTGAATCTATAAGATGTGAAGCAACAACCAAATTGAGCGTCATTTTATCATGTATTTCTTAAAATGGCAATCGCTTGGTTGACAATATTCTTTGAAATACTTAGATATTGTTACAAATCTTAGCCCGTCCTCTAATTTGTAATTTTATTGCATATTCATTTCAGCAAGCATATTCATTTCAACAATAACTTCCATTGGCATTACCAAGATTTCGATTGCCCTAATTACGAAAACTTATTTTTAAATTAATTTACGAAATTGTTTAGAATCACACACATCAATGTAGTACCGACATAAATCCGTAATATATAAATAAACATAGAAAAATCTTCAAGTTTCTACAAAGATAATATTGCTACCTCTCTGATATTGCTAAAATTCACCACCACACATTCTAGACATCTCCAAAGAACCAAAGGAAGTGATGTATCCTGTACATTTCGCAGGATCACGTGGCCGGCCGCTTCTGGTGCCGACGGCGTATCATTGAACACAATGGGTGTAACGAGATCCGAGATTGCTAGGTATTGTTGGCTTAATGCCTCTAGCTGATACAAGAACGACTGAATATCCGTTATTATCTTACAAGGAAATTTTGTGTGATTACTCTAAGCCGCTAGACCAGTGTTTTCCAGGATATTTTGTGCCATCACCCCACTGACACATTTAAAAAAATTTTACGCCCCCCATTTAACTTTAAAAAATTGATTTGTTCACAAATATGAAACATAAATGATAAGTTTTAGGAAGAAATCACTATGAAATTATTATTAAAACAGAGCAAGGAACATGTAAAACTGAAATTCAAATTCAAAATAATTTTTATACAGATTTTTATATATTAATAGTGCGATTGCCCCCCAAAATTATGAAATTGTCCCCTTGTGGGGCGTGGACCCCACGTTGGGAAACACCGGGCTAGACTATCTTGGTATGATTGTTCGCTGCCAAATCATAAGATTGTTTTTTTGGCGACCATGAAAAATCGTACCAGTTTATATGAAAGATAATAACAAAGTTTTATTATGAAATGTATCTATGTAATTAGGAGGAACGTAGGGCAATTAAGATAATAATAATAATAATAAAATAATAATATAATAATAATATAATAATAATGATATCGTGTTGATGGACCAGACGGAGTCTCGGGTATTTCTGGTGGATATCACCATCCCCTACGACGAGAACCTCGTGCGGGCCGAGGCAGATAAAAAGACCAAATATTTGGACCTGGCGCACGAGGTGACCGACATGTGGAGGGTGGTATCTACAGAAATAATCCCGGTAGTTGTGTCGGTGAATGGTTTGGTCCCTAAAAGCCTCTCAAAACNGATGGACCAGACGGAGTCTCGGGTATTTCTGGTGGATATCACCATCCCCTACGACGAGAACCTCGTGCGGGCCGAGGCAGATAAAAAGACCAAATATTTGGACCTGGCGCACGAGGTGACCGACATGTGGAGGGTGGTATCTACAGAAATAATCCCGGTAGTTGTGTCGGTGAATGGTTTGGTCCCTAAAAGCCTCTCAAAACTTCTCGAGAGGCTTGGTCTCAACAAAAAGTCGGAGGTGGCCCAAATGCAAAAAGCAGTCTTGCTCGACAATGCCCGTATAGTTCGCCGGTTTCTCTCCCAATAGTCCCTAACGCTCCGGCCGATTGTTGCCCACCTCGCCGGAGTGTGTCCTGCCGTCTTCCCAGGCGTGGCAGTGTTTAATACACTATAATAATAATAATAAATGAAGCTCACTTGAAGGCCCGTGATCTTCATTATACCGAAATATCTTAAGTATTTCGAGAAACACAATACAAAAGAAATATAATAATAATAATGTTTTTATTTCAAGTATCCATGACTCATATAAATTGCTAATAAGAAGAATCTGCGGCCATTTTAACATTATTTAAATTATCACTATGTGTGTACGCTATGATATTCAGCGAACGGCACACGATGATTGCAAAATTTAATCTAGTTCAAGGGTATCCAGACCACAGTCATAGACTAACGTCATGTAATAAATTGAATTGGAAGCGGGCATCGACTGTGGATTGTCGATGGTATATAAGGGTAAAATGTTGCTAGACTTTAAAATAATCGTTTGACCTCGGTGGCTATTAACATTTAATTAAAACTGTTAGGTAGTGTCTGGAAGCCATAAAAACTAATTATAATTGAAATGTCGGACATGGAATTAGTTATAATAAACGAAATATTTTAACCGACAAAGTGTCTTCAACCATGCCTTGTGAGAACTTCAGGTGGCAGTCATTGTATATTGAGGCATCGACCTCATCAAGGTTAAGGTGAGAGGCAGCAGTAATGCGTTTCGGTTTGAAGAGTGGGGCAACCCTTGTACTGAAAAACAGAATTTATGTCTATGGAATCCGATGACCATCTAACACCAGGTGGGTCGTGAGCTCGTCCTAACAATAAAAAAGAGAATAATTATGTGCTAAACATCGATTTAACTACCTATTGATTTAACGATCAAATCAAAAAGATTATGTTTTTGATGTATTTAGTTAATTAGTCTGAACATTTAGCAACGACATGCTTTATATCTCAACCTTGTATTAAAAAAAGGTCCGTTTGGCCCGTGCAAAATTCCCATCAGAGTTGCGTAAGACGAACTGTAGGTCTGGTTGGGCGTTAGGCAACTTCCGACCAGAGATTAACGTGATTAACGGATCAGGCAGCCTCTTGATTATAACAATTTTTTTAGCCCACTGAGTCTCACGCCGGATCTCCTCAGTGGGTCGCGTTTCGGATCCCGTGGTAGATTCTGCACGCCCTGCTCTGGCTAGGGCTGGTGCTAACGTATCCCTTCATGATGAGCCCGCGATATATGAGCAGGTGATACCCAGGCAATCCATACTTGCCGCCACCTACCTTGAGACGTGAGTTCTAAGGCCTCAGTGCTTACTGTACAACAGCTGCCCCGCCCTTCAAATCGAAATGCATTAATTACTACTTCACGGCAGAAATAGGCACGGTAGTGGTACCTATCCGTGCGGAGTCTTAAACATACGTCTTATCATTATATTAAAATTTGTATGTCCTTCGTTCACGTCGAAACAAAGCAACGGTTTGATATGGTCTTTTTAATGTGAATAGTAAGTATTAGGGTCATGAGTCGCCTCACCTACGCGTCGCGAGAAGCTGGAATAGCCCCCGCGGCTACCAGCGAATAAGTACGGAAAAGAAAAAGGAGAATTTGATCCTTTTTTTCTTAAAAAAATTACGATAAATATGGAAAGAATCTGAAGACTGCCTTACTATTGCTCTAATTTTTTTAATCAGATAATTAGGTATGTTATGGTATATAGTGGATAAAGGTCTAAATTAGCTTATATCAATCAATTGAATTATAGAAAAAATACGTCAAATACTCAGTATATCGTTCAGCTCATCTTAGATCAAATGGAATGAGCAGTGTAGTTTCACGGCTGCCGTGGCCTACTAATGGTAAAAACAACACTCAATGAGTGTGATAAACGTTGAGAAAACTGTCACATAGTCTTAGAAAGCGTTCACGAAAGCGGTTTGATAATAATGTTCCTGTGCTTACACTGGCCTTTATAGAATTATATACAAGCTCGTTTTGCTCACTCACTAAATTTCTCCCTGACAAGTAAAGTATTATATTTGGTCAGAATATTGGGTACGTTCTAGTACAACGCATTACTATTCTCCTCCGTAGTATAATGAATAAATAAATAAATAACTGGGAACAAATCACACGCGGTCATCCGACCCAAAATTAGAATTCCCTTTGTTACTGGTATCACAGATTGAGATACATGCTTATCTACGTTTAAATATAGACATATTAAAATAAGAATCATCCAGACAAAAAACAAACAAACCTGTTCATTACAATAATGTTTACCCGATGTCGGGATCGAACCCGCGACCGTCGCTGCGTCGGTGCGACAGTCCGGAACTATTTCACCACAGAGTCAGTCAGTCAGTGATCATACAATATTATTTCATCGTTATGACATAATAATGGCACTTATTCAAATGAACTGGTGCAGAATATTTAATGCTAAACAGAGGTTTCACGCATCCCTAACTCAGAGGTCACAGTCTCTAACTAGATATGTATGCTCATATTTTCGTACAATAAATATGTAATTGTATGTATATATTTTCTATAATAACATGCCTGCTATATTTTTATATTTTCCAGAATTTCCGTAAATTAAACGGTTGTCTGGAAGAGATCGCTTTTAGCGATAAGACCTCCTATTGAACAAACGTATCTGCTTTTTGACTGTTTTTCAATCTAAATTGTGTTTTAGGGTGTATTTTCTCTCTCTTTCTAAATAAACCATGACGAAATCAGATGTCCAATGTAATTTCACCGTGTACATAACATTGTACTTATAAATAAACATAAAACCAGTCGCCGGTATCTCCGTAGTAGTTCAGTGTTATAAGAGTAAATATGTTAATTTAATAACGCAACGGTGTAGGAAGGCGGTCAGTGGGACAAAGCCTGCTGGGAAAGAGTTTGAAAGCCTCGTTTTATACTACCTATATGACGTTCCGAAACAACAGGCACAAAACCAAAATGATGATAGTGGACAGAAGCAATAACAATAGATTACCGAGATTGCAAGCTGTGAGGTAGTTTCATCTTATACCTACTTAGGTTCACTAGTGACTAACAGTGGTGATTCGGAGGACGAAATTAAGCGGCGCATAATCATAACGCGATCGGCCATGGATAAACTCGGAAAAGTATGGAAGGACCGGAATATCACCAAGACCACCAAAGTCCAATTGGTAAGGGCACTGGTGTTCCCCATCTTTTTATATGGGGTTGAGACATGGACTGTGAAAGAAAGAGAAAGAAGAAGGATCGACGCATTAGAAATGTGGTGCTGGAGAAGGATGCTCCGTATATTTTGGACTGAGCATCGCACCAACGCCTCCATCTTAAAAGAACTAAATATCTCTCAAAGGTTGTCGTCAACAGTGCAATCCAGGATTCTTCGATATTTTGGAAACGTATCGCGACAGCCAGCGGAGTCTATCGAGAAACTTGCTGTTCAGGGTAGGGTCAATGGTAAGAGATCTTGTGGACGAATCCCCATGCGCTGGACTGATCAGGTGAAAGACCTTACTGAAACCCCACTTAACGAGTGCGTGCGCCGGGCCTCGGTTCGCAAACTATGGAAAACATCTGTCAAGGCTTTATTAAGCAAGAATTCCACATGACCCCGACTGCTCTGCCAAGAGCAACCGGCTATGATGATGACGATTTGAAAATAATTTGACATTGTTGTTGGCGAGGAAGAGGAGGTAAGCAGTGGTGTACGAAAGTAATGAAGTTTTTATACTTTTCTTCGAAGTTATAATTTAAAATACTGACTATGACGATGCACAGGTACACGGGTGTTATTCGTAAGGTTGTTGCGAGAGAGTGTGTGCGGTGGCAGTGCGGCTTGACCGCATGTTGTTTTGTTGGTAGTATTGTACGCATAAACATTGTTGTTGATAAAAATATTAAGATTTACATAGATATACACTTCACGAGTGGGTACAGACTGCCTATTCATTCGCGTAGTGTTTGTGTGCAGTGTGCAATACTTTCGTATTACAATATAAGGTGTGGTGTATTAAGGATAAGTCGCCATTGTACTCGAATTGGGCGATACGAACCAATATTTACCAGTGATCAAATCCCGCCGGTAGGAACCAATTTTTTCCAATGAAACATAAAGTCATGTTCAAGGATAATTTCCGTGCTGAACGAATAACATCGTGCATTGAAGATTAATCTCGAAAAGGCTTCGAATGTACGTAATTACAGGTGTCAGAGCGTCTTGTGAGTTTGTGAGACCGAACGGATTGGTACCACAACCCTACCTATGCCGAAAAGCGTTAATATCTTCCGCTTTGAAAGGTGGGACAGCCGTTATAGGTATCGGAATTCATGATGTCATGTCTTTATGCGCAGTATCTGCTTATCACCTGGTACACCGAGAACACCTTTATCTTTAAAAATAAATAGTTGTATAATAATGATATAATAATAGTAATAGCCCGTGCGTATTATTTTTTAAGCTGATAATTGCCCTTGGCCGATTAACCCGAAAGCTATATCACCGGAGATTTTCCAGCCATTATCCAAAAAAGCAAAATGTTTACAAAATACGATGCGGAGTTCACGGTAGAGCTACATGGGAGTCTATAGTGTAATAATATATAGTATAATAATTAGGCATTACGACAAAACGAACCATATAATATTTTGATTAAAATATTAAAGCATCCGTAACCTAATTGGCAAAACGCTCGGTTTATCGTATCGAGTTATGAATGTGTGCTGAAGTTAATATTTTACTGTGAGACATCAAGTTTTCTAAGAAAATCCGTATCTAAAATGTGATCACTAACGACTGCCAAGAGGAAGAAATGTAAAAACAATTTTATAAAATTCAAATCGGTAAAATTTTATAAGCTGCGTTTTTATTTTTGTTTTGCCACCATCCCGGGTTCTTCTGCCCTGAATCGCGCACTCCATTCTGAAGGTGGCACAGCTGGCATACACTTGGTAGCTTTCATGTTTTAATGTAGCCAATTTAAAGTATAAGACGTCCGTCCGGTGCATTCGTGTTGAGCGATGCACCGGTGTTCGAATCTCAGGCGGGTACCAATTTTTCTAATGAAACACGTACTCAACAAATGTTCACGATTGATTTCCACGGTGAAGGAACAACATCGTGTAATAAAAATGAAACTCGCAAAATTATAATTTGCGTAATTACTGGTGGTAGGACCTCTTGTGAGTCTGCCCCACCCTTCAAACCGAAACACATTACTGCTTCACGGCAGAAATAGGCAGGGTGGTGGTACCCACCCGCGCGGACTCACAAGAGGTCCTACCACCAGTAAAAAGCATTTTTGTATTACAAAACAATAAGTCATTACATAGAAACTCATTAAAATAAAACTATCAGATAAGGTAGTTTCACTGCATTCTCAGCTTTTAAAAAGTTACGCGGAAAAGCGAGTTCGTAATTACAATAACAACTAATAGAAACTGGGCTAAATTGTTAAATGATTAGTGGCGCATTACTCCAAGTTCCATTGCAATTGCATATGGTCGCTTTGAAATTCACGCATCGGCTATCGGGAAGGATTTTAGTGCCTCAAGCAACCGCGATAATACGCCTGGTTGGTGTAGGCGAATGAAGCCACCATGTCGGTGTTCGAATCCTACAAGCAGGTACCAATTTTTTAAATGAAATACGTACTCATATTCACGAATTCACGATGAAGGAATAACATCATCGAATAAAAACGAAACCGGGAAAAAATGTAATTTGCTTAATTACTCAACGATTGAGAAAGAACTCAAATCTTAAATCTCCGCTAACTCATTAACAGCTGGTGTACTGTGAGCTAATATCATATTACTCCATCGAACTGACTCACAGGCATTCGTGAATAATTTTGTTGTAATATTACGCGATGGTATTTCTTCAGCATCAGTTGTTCGAGCTCACGTCTTAAGCACGTATTTGGTGTCCGCCTGTGGGATTAGATCCTTTTGGCGACGATCACTTCAAACTTTCGGTTCATTTCGTTGACTTTCTCTAGTTAAATAAATTACAATTTCTAATACGACGTTACATTGGGATTGAACCTGTTACCGAAAACAAGTCTCGTAGTAAACAAGTTTTTAATGTGAAAGTTAGGGTTGCACTTATATCAGGTTTTTTTAACTTTTTTTTTGTTGCCTAGATGTGTGGACGAGCTCACAGCCGACCTGGTGTTAAGTGGTTACTAGAACCCATAGATATCTACAACGTAAATGCACCACCCACCTGGAGATATAAGTTCTAAGGTCTCAGTATAGTTACAACAGCTGCCCCACCCTTCAAACCGAAACGCATTACTGCTTCACGGCGGAAATAGGTGGGGTGGTGGTACCTACCCGTGCGGACTCCCAAGAGGTCCTACCACCAGTTATTACGCAAATTATAATTTTGCGGGTTTGGTTTTTATTACACGATGTTATTCCTTAACCGTGGAAGTCAATCGTGAACATTTGTTGAGTACGTCTTTCATTAGAAAAATTGGTACCCGCCTGCGGGATTCGAACACCGATGCATCGCTATATACGAATGCACCGGACATCTTATCCTTTAGGCCACGACGACTTTTTTAAACTTTATTTGATTTCCATCAATGACTTTTACACTCGCAGCTACAAGTTATATCTGTATCTATTTATTTGTGTACCGGAATCTTCGAGTAGACTAGTATAGAATAAGTTCGTATAGACTTAAAAAGAATGCTCAGTGATTGTGAATTAAATCGTTAATGCTAGACCAGTCGCTTGGTGCAGTCCAATAGTCGATACCGATAAACTTACAATACTTTAAAAGTATCAATTTCGTATTGAAGCTACAAAAGGAAGTTTCTGACTAAATTTTAAGTATATTAAGTATAAAATTCTTGACAAAAATGCTCTGAAAAGATCGCTCCACTTACGCAAAAATCCGAGTAAAGCATTTTTCGTAATTATAATGTGATTTAGTATATTCCTCGGTTTTTGCGAGTCGTAGAAATAATTAAAACCACATTCCTGACCACGAAAACTGTGACATGTTCGAAACGTCTGAAATAATATAATGACAATAATAAATACGAGATAAAATCGTAAAAGTATTATAAATTAAATAATGTGGTTCTCAAAGAGGGCAGCCCTAATCGAAAGTGATAGTAAACTCTTGCATTATGTAACTACCCAGAGTCGACCTTCACGCGTCCACGTGAGCATGAAGCCTTACATCAGAATACGTTATGAATGATGTTAAGAACTAGTTACAAACTCTGTAATCCCGGGATTCCATGGCACAACGCCAGGCCTTCATGACGGTAGCTATACCACTTAGCATCAGGTCATCTTAGCTACGAAAGCTTTAAAGAAACTATCCTCTATGTCATATCTTCCGGCTTCCAACTCAAGTACGATGGCATGGTATACTAAAAGCGAAACATATTTTGTTACAGCGATGAAGAAGATACGAAGAGACTGCTCCGTCAGTTGAGCTCCATCAACCGTCCTCTGGAAGTCACCTTCCAGCAAATGGTGAATCTAATGGCACAATGCCAACAGGTATGCCTTTACTCTGTATTTTAATAGGAAGGTTCTGATTAGAGATGTATGTACCTATAGTAACCGACAAAGAGAAGACCTTGACGATTAATTAAATGAAAATGTAGCTGGTGCGATCCAGGTTTTTGACAAGTATGTTCTTTTCTAAGATAACTTCTGTTCTATCGTTCCTCTCAGAAACTAGGAGGTTATGCTATTAGTAAGCGTTGTTCGTGATGAGATTAACCTGCAAATACCAGTGTTACTCAAAGTCACTTGGGAGTCGCGACTAAGCTTTGAATACGGCGTCAGTGTCGTGAATAGTCCAGACAGTACAGAACTGTCACGCTGGAAATGTGTGGCTCCGTGTAGTCCGATACTTAAAATTGTGTTTCTCAAGAACGGCTAGAGATATAAAGCTGAAATTAGTATCAATTACAAAGGTCAAAGTCAGAAGTCATCAAAATCTCAGATTCTCAATTAACGCAATCAATGTCCTTCATAAAACCTTTGGGAGAGACTATTTGGCGGGAACGCGAGGAGCGAAGTTGTGTGAATTGTTTCATTTTAATAATTTCGTGTTTCTTCAGGCTTAAATGTGTAATACCGGTGATTTATTAACTGGTTAGCATATATGAATGTCCATAAATGTGGGAAAACGGAATAAAGACTTAGCCGCTCGGGCTATTTTAAAAAGTCCACTGAAAAGACTTGGTGAAATAAAATCTCAATAAAATGGAGGTTATTTTATTGAAATTTTATTTCATCCATCCCATTTCATTTCATTTCAACTCATCCTAATTGACTATATTCTCAAATTATTCAACACTATCTTCGCTTTATATTATTTTTCAATTGATTCATTTTCAAACAATTTTCAAAAAAATTTTTTGCGCGTAAATGTTTGATACAAAATACATGATCAACATTAGATCTGCATGGCTTCGTAGCCTTGTGTAGAAAGAGCCCCCAATCCGTCAGGGCATGAGTCTTACTTAGACTTGTCCGGTTATTTACTAGCAGAGGAAATTCAGCATACATTCCACCACACACTTATAGACTGAATGTCAGAATGGCGTTATAGCAATTCTCCTCTTCAAACAGCGACTCATACGAATGCTTCTCTGCAGAAGTAGGGCAGTCCGGCTTGTACAAGCTGAGTATTGTCCTATTACTAATACCATTATTATCAGTAATTTCCGATTGGGTCATTATATGTATACAATAATAGCTAACGTAATTTTAATGTCCTATTTGCATAACAAGGAATGCGGTGTTTGGGTGAGTACCTTGATTCTAAATAGTTGTTACCTATTACCGGAATCTATAATCGGGAGAACAACAGCTCTGCTGCATGTGTATGTTATCAACATGTGTCATAATCTACGACTTATTACGACGATTATTTACTAATGTAAATTTGTTCCTAAATCAAAAGAAAACCCCATTTTATTTATTTACCCCATGTAATATGAACCCTTCGTTGTTGCGACGAGCGTAATTATTCCTCGTTACAGAGGCGGATTGTAAAACTGTTTACAACAATATGTATAACACTAGTACTAAGTACAATTACACACGCAAACTAACAGGTGAACATAAAAATACAATTTTTATCAGCATTAATGCGTATTTATCACGATATAATTTTAACTAGTTTAGTATTGTGTTCCTGGTTGCGTGTTTATTACACTATCTGTGTGATATTTGCAATTAAGTGACCGTTGAATGTTGTGACGGCAGACCGCGACCGCTCGTCTCATAGAATAGACCGCTAATCGAAAAACGTCACGTACATAGGCGGCACTGAAAATTTCGGGAATTAACGAAGTGACACAACATTACTATTTAAAAATGTATTTATTGCTTTTCGAAGTATTCTCCGCGAAATTTGACACATTTTTCCATACGATGGAACCAATCATTGAAGCAACCATTCCATTCGGAAGTTGGGGTCTCCAAAATGGCCGTTTTGTAGGCGTCCACAGCTNTGTTCAGCGCGACTCCCTTACCTCCTGTAGTAAATAGAAATCGGCATTTCAAGAAGCAAAAATAAATAAAGCAAAACGATGTTAGTTCTCAGAGCAATTAAGGGAAAAGTTACTTTATTTCTTGCAGTTTAAGATTGATTTAACATTAAAAGTTGTTTAATATATGTCTTTTTATTGGTAAGTGACAGGAGTAATTTATTGCTTTGCTTGTTTTATGTGACGAATGATCGTAAGTATTAGATAATGTTTTGGAGATTTGTGACTTTATTACTAGGTGCCATAGTTGTAATTAGTTTGAACGTAAAAGTGTTTCAAAACTTTTTTCTCCGTTTGTTAGTAAACGAATGTAGCTATATAAGTATATATTCACGCGGACAGTTTTTTCTTTAATTTTGTACGTATCCCTTTATCTAGTTACTATTGTTGATCGAAGAATACGACGTTACATTGGGATTGAACCTGTTACCGAAAACAAGTCTCGTAGTAAACAAGTTTTTAATGTGAAAGTTAGGGTTGCACTTATATCAGGTTTTTTTTTTAACTTTTTTTTTTGTTGCCTAGATGTGTGGACGAGCTCACAGCCCACCTGGTGTTAAGTGGTTACTAGAACCCATAGACATCTACAACGTAAATGCACCACCCACCTGGAGATATAAGTTCTAAGGTCTCAGTATAGTTACAACGGCTACCCCACCCTTCGAACCGAAACGCATTACTGCTTCACGGCGGAAATAGGTGGGGTGGTGGTACCTACCCGTGCGGACTCCCAAGAGGTCCTACCACCAGTTATTACGCAAATTATAATTTTGCGGGTTTGGTTTTTATTACACGATGTTATTCCTTAACCGTGGAAGTCAATCGTGAACATTTGTTGAGTACGTCTTTCATTAGAAAAATTGGTACCCGCCTGCGGGATTCGAACACCGATGCATCGCTATATACGAATGCACCGCACATCTTATCCTTTAGGCCACGACGACTTTTTTAAACTTTATTTGATTTCCATCAATGACTTTTACACTCGCAGCTACAAGTTATATCTGTATCTATTTATTTGTGTACCGGAATCTTCGAGTAGACTAGTATAGAATAAGTTCGTATAGACTTAAAAAGAATGCTCAGTGATTGTGAATTAAATCGTTAATGCTAGACCAGTCGCTTGGTACAGTCCAATAGTCGATACCGATAAACGTACAATACTTTAAAAGTATCAATTTCGTATTGAAGATACAAAAGGAAGTTTCTGACTAAATTTTAAGTATATTAAGTATAAAATTCTTGACAAAAATGCTCTGAAAAGATCGCTCCACTTTCGCAAAATATCCGAGTAAAGCATTTTTCGTAATTATAATGTGATTTAGTATATTCCTCGGTTTTTGCGAGTCGTAGAAATAATTAAAACCACATTACTGACCACGAAAATGACAATAATAAATACGAGATAAAATCGTAAAAGTATTTTAAATTAAATAATGTGGTTCTCAAAGAGGGCAGCCCTAATCGAAAGTGATAGTAAACTCTTGCATTATGTAACTACCCAGAGTCGACCTTCACGCGTCCACGTGAGCATGAAGCCTTACATCAGAATACGTTATGAATGATGTTAAGAACTAGTTACAAACTCTGTAATCCCGTGATTCCATGGCACAACGCCAGGCCTTCATGACGGTAGCTATACCACTTAGCATCAGGTCGTCTTAGCTACGAAAGTTTTAAAGAAACTATCCTCTTTGTCATATCTTCCGGCTTCCAACTCAAGTACGATGGCATGGTATACTAAAAGCGAAACATATTTTGTTACAGCGATGAAGAAGATACGAAGAGACTGCTCCGTCAGTTGAGCTCCATCAACCGTCCTCTGGAAGTCACCTTCCAGCAAATGGTGAATCTAATGGCACAATGCCAACAGGTATGCCTTTACTGTGTATTTTAATAGGAAGGTTCTGATTAGAGATGTATGTATAGTAACGGACAAAGGGAAGACCTTGACGATTAATTAAATAAAAATGTAGCTGGTGCGATCCAGATTTTTGACAAGTATGTTCTTTTCTAAGATAACTTCTGTTCTATCGTTCCTCTCAGTAACTAGGAGGTTATGCTATTAGTAAGCGTTGTTCGTGATGAGATTAACCTGCAAATACCGGTGTTACTCAAAGTCACTTGTGAGTCGCGACTAAGCTTTCCAGTCCAGACAGTACAGAGCTGCCGGAAATGTGTAGTTCTGAGTAGTCCGATACTTAAAATCGCGTTTCTCAAGAACGGCTAGAGATATAAAGCTGAAATTAGTATCAATTACAAAGGTCAACGGCGGAAGTCATCAAAATCTCAAACTTCTTAATCAACGCAATCAATGTCCTTCATAAAACCTTTGGGAGAGACTATTTGGCGGGAACGCGAGGAGCGAAGTTGTGTGAACTATTCCATTTTAATAATTTCGTGTTTCTTCAGGCTTAAATGTGTAATACCGGTGATTTATTAACTGGTTAGTATACCTATATGAATGTCCATAAATGTGGGAAAACGGAATAAAGACGGTGGACCTAGCCGTTCAAGTTATTTCAAAAAGTCCCCTGTAAAGACTCGACTCGGTGAATAACCTTCATTTTATTGAGATTTTATTTCATCCATCTAATTTCAAATTTCAAATATATTTTTACGCGTTAGTTGCGTTAAGTTTGCGCGTATGTTTGAAACTTACAAAATACATGATAAATATTAGATCTGCATGGCTTCGTAGTCTTGTGTAGAATGAGCCTTAGCACCCTAATCCGTCAGGGCATGAGTCTTACTTAGACTTTCCGGTTATTTACTATCAGAGAAACTTTAGCATACATTCCACCACACGCTTATAGACTGAATGTCAGACTGGCGTTATAGCAATTCTCCTCTTCAAACAGCGACTCATACAAATGCTGCTCTGCAGAAGTAGGGCTGTCCGGCTTATACAAGCTGAGTATTACTAATACCATTATTATCAGTAATTGCCGATTGGGTCATTATGTGTATAATAGCTAACGTAATTTTAATGTCCTATTTGCATAACAAGGAATGCGGTGTTTGGGTGAGTACCTTAATTCTAAATAGCTGTTACCTGTTACCGGAATTTATCATCTGAGTAATACGAAACGTGGTCAATAACTATACAGTTGTGTTTGTTCAAATCTATCTTTCTTTTACGGCCATATGCTTTTATTTTCTTGGTCGAGAACGATCCGACTTCAAGGTATGTTTAAATAAAATATTTTTAAATTTAAAATTACAAATACATGTAATAGGAATCGCAAACGAAACGAACAAAACGAAGTACATATATTGTGCTATTATTGAATTCCCCATCCACCATCCCACCCATGTCGAGGATCAAGATCAGGATGATCGAGGTGGGTGACAATATCCGAGTTGTGAGGTGTAAGGGCTTCGGTAGCCGCCTCGTACCGGGTGGGCGTGAGCACCTTCCACATAGGCACTAAACCTAAAAAGTCCTCATTAATACTATGCGACGAAACTCAAATATCCTCATATAAGAATACCCGAACGCTTCCGACGCGCATCTGAAGACAATCCGCCCGTAACTAGTATTCACAATTCTTTAACGCATTCATTTTGTACTAAGCCCCGCAAACTTTAAGGATTTCTCCTCTTTTCTTAGTGTTAGAGACGTAGAAAAACATGTCGGATAGCAACAGACGTCCAATATGTACCCGAGCTTAAACAGTTTTTTATTTCTAAATTGAGAACAACAGCTGCCTGTGTATATTATCAACATGTGTCATAATCTACGACTTATTACGACGATTATTTACTAATGTACATTTGTTCCTAAATCAAAAGAAAACATTTATTTAAACCATGTAATATGAATCGTTCGATTTTGTGGCGATCGTAATTATTCCTCGTTACAGAGGCGGATTGTAAAACTGTTTACAACAATATGTATAACACTAGTTTACACTAGTACTAACTACAATTACACACGCAAACTAACAGGTGAACATAAAAATACAATTTTTATCAGCATTAATGCGTATTTATCACGATATAATTTTAACTAGTTTAGTATTGTGTTCCTGGTTGCGTGTTTATTACACTATCTGTGTGATATTTGCAATTAAGTGACCGTTGGATGTTGGGACGGCAGACCGGGACCGCTCGTCTCATAGAATAGATCGCTAATCGAAAAACGTCACGTACCTACATGTTTTCAGAATATCATGAATTCCGATCTCACGGAATGCTTAGAGTCGAGGCGGACGAAGAAATACTATGGCTCTCTTTTCGTTATTGCCATCTTTTATTCCAGGGAGAACGCTTCAGGGAATCAACGGAGACAGTACCTTCGTTTTCCTAATAAATGAAATAAAGCTCAGTTTTATCTAGAAACCTCTTCAACGATCTTCTCTGTCACGTACGTTGAAAATCTGGAATGAGCTCCTCCCTACGGTATTATATTACGACATGTCTTCAAATGAAGCGAATAATGTTTTACGAAAGGCGCGGATATGGCCTTGGCATTACCAATATTTTTTAGCAGCCCACACGCTCATTTAAGTATTGAGACTAATTAATAAATAAAAAAAAACAGGCTTCCCTCCAACTCAGATAAAACGGAAATAGTTCAAACGTAAACTTAGACTGGAACATTATGACAACCCTAAAAAAAAACGCGCGGCAAATTGACAGCGGTCCACAATTACCTCGACGACAAACCGATACGATATTTACAATATACGATATTTTTTGTGATTTTGTGTGTTTAAAAACCAAACGTTTTGAATAGATAGGCCCACGTTCAATATTTCGTGCTCGCAGGGCTGATGACAGTTGTCATTTTACGGTTTAATTAAGTGTAGTTGATATTTTGTTCCAGGTAGAAGGAGTAGAAGCTCAAGACGAGACGGGACGAGAGTTCAATGGCTGGAGAGAAAAGAGTAGCAGTGCAGCGGCTAAAGCGCGGCTGGACGCAGGAGGAGCACACGCAGGGCTCCTGGGCGGCAGTCCGCTCACACTCCTCCAGGGCATCATACCTGGTGAAGACCAAACATCGATATATCGTTAAAGCCTTATTCCAACGTAGCNGGTAGAAGGTGTAGAAGCTCAAGACGAGACGGGACGAGAGTTCAATGGCTGGAGAGAAAAGAGTAGCAGTGCAGCGGCTAAAGCGCGGCTGGACGCAGGAGGAGCACACGCAGGGCTCCTGGGCGGCAGTCCGCTCACACTCCTCCAGGGCATCATACCTGGTGAAGACCAAACATCGATATATCGTTAAAGCCTTATTCCAACGTAGCGCCATCTAGTTAATAATCTAGTTAACAATATTATGACGACAAATAATGTTATTGTTTCATCTTGTTAGCTGATTTCCTTTAAGTCCTTGATTTATGGTGATGCGATTTTACGGTGCACCTGGTATTAAGCGGTTAACAGAGTCCACAGATAACACATTGCACAGCCATCAAACTTAAGTTATGCAAGTCGAAGATTCAAGCCCCTGCGAGCATGAAAAGCGCCCTACAGACAATCATTGTTTTATTTTGTGTAAATTATGATTGTTATAAAGACAGATGATAAAACAAGATAAACCAAAAATACATTATTTTAACAGAAGCACGCAAGACAACACTGATCAATAAAAAACCGTCAATAAAGTATGAAATGTGCTTATTACAGGTACAAAATGGTGCGGTACTGGGGATATAGCCGCCGATTACCATGACTTGGGCGCTGACAGGCTACTGGACCGCTGCTGTAGAACCCATGACCTTTGCCCAACTAAAGTCAGAGCATTCTCCAAACGCTACAACCTTATTAATAATTCTTTATACAGCAAATCGCATTGCACATGCGACGACATGTTATTCGACTGTTTGAAAGCCACTAATACATCCGCCTCACATCTAATGGGCCATATTTATTTTAACCTAGTTCAAGTCCCGTGCTTAGAAGACATTCCAAACGGAAGACGGTTTAGGAACGCAAAAGAAGGTTTTTGATAATAGCTCGATCTATCGACAAGTAGTGAAATCTTTTAACAGCGCCATCTACATACTGTGCATTCATATTTAACATATTATTTACTATCAGTGCTTGTTCACGTCTTCACGTTAACTCGCGGACGTAAGGGCCGGCCCACTATCGAGATACCAAATAGGTGACGTATTATTAATATAAAGACGTAAGGAATGCAGGTGCAATGGAATGTAAGTAGCCGGCTCGCTGGGTAATGGCACATGCAGTGAGCTCACGACTGTATTTGTTTACGTTAAACTAGATTAAGACCGCTGGATTCAAGCGTGGCACCCGTGGAGTTAATAAGTACCTACAATACTAACTCTATGGGAACGCCATATTAGATTGAACTTGTTGTTAAATGCCTAGATTAGGCAAACATCCTGGCCTTTTGAACTTTCCAAGAGTAAGTAACGCGATCGTCGCCGCCGCCGCGTCCTCGTCGATACGTGTGAAACAAGCACTTAAAATTATTAACTGAAGCGTTTGTTAATCAAGACCATGTACAACTTTACTTCACGTTGTTTGCCTGTTTTACACAAATAAAAACTAAATTTCACATTCCAGTAGGCTTAGTTGTAAATAAAATCCTTCGATTTGTCATGTACGGAAACTGTGATATTCTGTGCCTTCAAGAAAAACATTGGATGTTTTGGTGGCTCTCCAAAACGCGAAAAATAATAATATGAAATAGTTTAAGATAATATTTATTTTATTAGAAAAAATAATAATTTTATGTTTGACACAAACTTTTAAGACGAAAGAATTTTGTATTAATTTAAAACTATTCGTCAGATATTGTACCAAATATAATTTATTAATGTTATAAATCTCGGTTTATTATTTTCTTTTTTATAACCCTATCCTCCTCTAGTNAAACGCGAAAAATAATAATATGAAATAGTTTAAGATAATATTTATTTTATTAGAAAAAATAATAATTTTATGTTTGACACAAACTTTTAAGACGAAAGAATTTTGTATTAATTTAAAACTATTCGTCAGATATTGTACCAAATATAATTTATTAATGTTATAAATCTCGGTTTATTATTTTCTTTTTTATAACCCTATCCTCCTCTAGTAGAGTTAAGCTCAGACCCAGAAAAGTGGTCAAGATTATTTTTGTTTATTAAAGTGAAAGAAAAAACCAAAATTATAAAACAATCTGAATACGTATGTAAAGTACTGACAGGCGATCATGGGAGTGCCAGACAGACTCGTGTTCATCTTATGAGACTTCTTGTCGAACCGTTCGTTTCGATATCGAGTAGAGGGAACTCGCTCTCGCCCCGGTCATCTGACGGCCGGAGTCCCGCAAGGCTCCGCGCTATCATCATTATTATTTAGTAATAAGTTATTGTCTCGGTCCTAAATGCATTTAGCGCTTTTCGCCGATGACACGGCTATCTAGTACTCGTGTAGGAAGAAGTCGCTATTGCATCGGCGACTCCAGATCGCAGTAATCACCATGTGTACTGCGATGGACAGTGTTCCGGAAGTGGCGCATTGACATCAACCCTACGAAAAGCACAACGGTGCTCAAAAGGGGTCGCCCTCCGAATACCACTTCGAGCAGCCCACTCCCTAATAGCCCCATCACTCTCTTTGGCCAGCCCAAAGCCTCGAAGGTCAAATATCTAGGCCTCACCCTCGACAGAGGGATGACATTCCGACCCACATTAAAACGGTATGCGACCGTGACGCCTCTATCTAATGATTTGCAAGCGAAGTAAATTGTGCCTTCGTAATAAGGTGACACTCTACAAAACTTGCATACGCCGTCATTACCTATGCAAGTGTAGTGTTCGCCCATGCGGCCCGCACCAACTTATAACTGTTTCACGTCATAAAATCCCGTTATTGAAGGATAGCCGTCGGAGCACCATGGTTCCTTAGGATCTCCATGATGACCTGGAGCTTGACTCAGTCAGTAAGTATTTACAGTCGGCATCATTGCGCCACTTTGAGAAAGTGGCCCGACATGAAAACGCTCTTGTCAAGGCCGCCGGTACTAACATACCCGATCCTGTGGACCGAATGGTAAACACTCAACGTCACCCTAAACACGTCATTACGGATCCTCCCTATCCATTAATGGTGTTTTAGGTACCTCAAGCACCGGTCATCATCCTCACCGAACCCGTCGCTTGCGACGAAGGGCTCGACGAATAAATTAACCCATAGACACAGCCACAGCCCACTGAGTTTCTCGCCGGATCTTCTCAGCGGGTTATGATTTCGATCCGGTAGTAGATTCATTCGCGAAGCAACTAATCTTGAGTTGTTAGATCTCCTTTAGAGGTGCTCGGTTTGTTGTTAGCAAATCCCACCCCTCCTGGCTGAGCCCTTGCTCGCCCACCTGCCCTGGTAAAACTGAAAGGCCTCTGGGCCACCAGTAATCTCGCAAATATAAAAAAAAGAAATAGTTATCGTATTAAGGATAAAATTACTTACAAAATAAAATATTAGCAATTGTTTATTAATATGAATGATGTGTTTAGTTTAATGAAATAAATATGTCAATGTCAATGAGAGAATTAATTTTAAATCACAAGACATTTTAGTTAATATAAAAACCACTGCATAAAATTAAGCATTTTTTTTCTTATCACGAAAGTATTTATTTGTAGTTGATGATTACGATTCTTTGTCTTTTTATGCAAAAAAAAGAAATGTCAACTTTTGACGGTCAAAATTGATGTCATGCAAAAACGTCAATAGTTTTCTGTGAATGCAGTTTTGCATGTTTTCAATTTGTATTTCTCAAGTCTTTCATTCACAAATAATTTTGAAAGAGTGTCGAGTGCGAAATAATGTCGAAAAGCAATATTTTATGAAACCCTCGCTTGCTTTCGCTTGTTAAATAAACATGTCTGCCGAACAAACTGACACTGCCACAGGTGTGTTGATAAACTTTTTCATTCATGTATTTCGTTGTTTCTAGCTGGTAAAATTGCCTTTTTTGAGTAGAAGGTGGAGGCGAAGATAAAACATCGACTAAGGAGTTGCCTCGACGAGATTTAGAGGAAGAATTCAACGTTCAAAGGGCGAAAATGAAGGAACTATTTTTACAAAAAGAAGGTTGTCCTTTTTGTTTTATTACTGTACCTTTGACTACCAATTAATGTTATAAAGTTCAGTATACTATCTAAATGCCATAATATATTCCAATCTTCTAGGTTTTTTATTTGAGATGCACAAAATTTAAACCAATAATATAAAAACTAGAATTTTTTAAGGTGGATAATCATTATGAAATAAAGACCACAAACGTTTGATCATTAGCTTTTTCTCCTGAAGTATGCCTCCGAATATAATGTATGTACTCTTAGAACACTAAATGTGATTGATTCATTGAATAGTAACAATGAAAACATTTTGCAGAAGACATGAGGAAAATGCTTCAAGATAAAGAACATTTAGAGTCAGAGGTGCTAAGTTTGAGAGCTGAATTACAGCAGTTACAAACGCTCAGTGAAAATCAGAAATCTGAGATTCAAAGCTTGCAGCTGCTTGTTAATGGTGAGATTGTATTTATAATTGAATAAATTTTAAGTGGCTATCCTTTTACATAAATACTTGAAATATATTTATATAAATAAGAAAGTGCTGATATACTTATATTAAACTGGTTTTCAACCCACTGAGTTTATCACCGGATTTTCTCAGTGGGTTGCTATTCCGTTTCTGTGGAAGATTCAGCAAAGCACTTTCTAGGGACTTCTAAGTTCTTGCTAGTTCTTGTTAGCAATTCTCTAAAGTTGATCCTGTAAACTCTCCAAACTGGTTGTCAAGTTGTTTCAATAGTTTCATAGGCTTCTTTGGTTAAGAAAAAAAGTTATTTTTTCACAGAGCAGATAAAATGTATAACTTAATTTAACCAGTTTTTGGTACCAGGGTATACCCATGATTTGTTATGAGTTTTGGTTTAGCAGACAACTAAGCTTGCAAAAAAACAGATTTCCGTTCCTCTACCATATAATATTGAAACAGTACATATAACAATGAGAACATATAACAACGAGAATGGATAGAATACGGAATGAATATGTTAGAGGAAGTCTGAAAGTGGCACCTGTGACAGAGAAGCTGAGGAGTGCGCGTTTGGGATGGTATGGACATGTGATGAGACGAAATGAAAATGAGGTTGGTAAGAGAGTGTTAACTATGAATGTGGAAGGATTTAGAGGAAGAGGTAGACCTAAGAAGAAATGGATGGATTGTGTGAAAGACGATATGGGTAAGAGGGGAGTGAGCGAAGAAATGGTATATGATAGAAGAGTACGGAAGGAGAAAACATGTTGCGCCGACCCCAGGTGACTGGGAGAAGGGCAGGATAATGATGAGTACATATAACACTGAAAGCCAAAATGAATTTCTAGACTATGATCAAGAACATCAATATTTGAAAACCTTATGTCTGGTGTTTTACTACTCAAATTTAGAAGTACTATAAGTGAGCTTTTAAGTTATATAATACTACCCTGACAATAAGCAAACATGTTCATTTTCTCTAACAATAAATATTGTATGCCTATAATTATCAATTAAAAAATACACAAATATAACTATGCAAATTTAACCACTTTGAATCTTAAACAATCCATCTCAAAGCCTTAATTGTATGGGAATATTGTATATTCTCTAAACACTCCCTGAACTAGATGACATTACTACGAGTATTATACTTTGCAACAAAAGATTGTGGTACCAAACTCTGAAAATTATTTAGTTCAACCTGTAATTTACACTCAGCTTACTAACACAATATAGAGCTAATTAATTAATTTTAATAATGTTACAATCAATGTATTTTGTTCAATTTAACTGTTTTAACTGTTTTCCCCAAACTCAGTCAGTACAGTAGAGTGGTTTATTGTGATAAGTTGTGTGAATATTTTAGTTTTGTGGTACTTGCATTGGTTTTTTGATAAAACAGGGTTTAAGAGGCTCATATGCAATTTTTTTTTAATTATGTTTATTTAGTTTGATATAGATTTGTTCATAACTGGATTTGTTTAAAATGTTACCATCTTTTTGCATTTGGGGAGTAAAGGGTATGTATAAAATCGACTGTCATGTTTATATCTCTCTTTCTATCATATCATGTATATAGGGTCGCACAATTACTGTACTACAATATTATTGAAACTCCTATGTCTCATTGGCATTTTGGAAAAAAATAGATACCGGACACAGACATAAAAGCTGTTAATTCCTTCGAAATCTCAATAATATTAATGTGGTACATTATAAGTAATGGAAATTTTGTTTTTCCACTCCTCAATCTAGAAGGGTCACATGGCACGTACCAGAGATACAACAGGCTGCATACACTTTCTTGTTCTGACTGCAATAATTTATCTGCCTAGGTGGATATTTTACAATATTTTTCGAACCAGTCCTGCGTTCCAATGATCAATGAAACATTAATTATACTAAAACGAATATCATAAACTAGATTGGTGGATTAACTTGCAGTTTACAGATTTTTATTAAAACTGAATGTAAATATACGACCTGAAAGTATTAGATGTCGGAATAGGTTAATGCAACTTTATGATGATAAATTTGACAGAAACTGTGGAGGCTTCCTCGTCCGGTACGGAGGAACTCCGCTGCCTGACCAAACGGAACCTAGAGCTGGAGCAACAGATACGGCAAATGCAGATACAGCAACAACAGCAGGTACAGTGGGGCTGGTGGTAGCTCTGCCCTGCCTGTGTCGACCGCGGTCCCGCGGAGAGGTGGGAGGGCCATTATACTTTTAGGACTTCGATCTCACGTCTCAAGGAGGGTCAAGGCGTCGATATTGTGATGT